CGCAGTGTGTCACCGATGCCGTGCATGCATTGCGCAGCACCCAGTTGATCACCAATGATCTCGAGCTCCGTCTTGGCCTGCTCCAGACTCGACAACGCATCGTCATTCCGATTGAGCATACGCAGTGTGTCACCGATGCCGTGCATGCATTGCGCAGCACCCCGCCGGTCGCCGGTGTTCTCGAACTCCGCCTTGGCCTGCTCCAAATTCGACAGCGCATCATCATTCCGATTGAGCATACGCATTGTGTCACCGATGCCCTGCATGCATTGCGCAGCACCCCGCCGGTCGCCAATGGTCTCAAACTCCGCCTTGGCCTGCTCCAGATTCGACAGCGCATCGTCACTCCGATCGAGCATGCGCAGTGTGTTGCCAATACTCCACGTGCATTCTGCAGCACCCAGTCGGTCGCCGAGGACCTCAAACATTGCCTTGGCGTCCCGCAGTACTTCGAGAGCCGGCATGTAGTGGTTCCCGGACAGCACATGTCCAATGTCCAAAGTATATGCAGCAGCCGCCCCGGGGCGACCCATCCTTTCCAGAGCCTTCTTTGCATCTTCCAGAAGCGGTAGACAGTCTCCAAAGCCGGTGAAGTATGAAAACGTTAAGAGCCGGTCCGTTGCGATGCAAAGTGCCTCGACATCTATGCGGAAGGAAGCACCTTTCCAACAATGACGGAGCACCGAATTGATGTTGCCAATTTCGGGTGATAGCAAACCTATGGCTGTCCTCGACTGATCCGTCCCAAATTTCTCCGCTTCATCCGCGAGTAGCATATAGTGGGCACGTAATTCCACGAGGGAAATGCCGCCGGGGGGTAAATGCTCCATCACGAAGTCGCGAATAGGCGAGAGTGCTCTCAGTCGTCCATTGACGTTAGCCGCCAGAGCGACGGCGACGAGCGCCAGTGCACTTTTTCGTGTTCCCTGCACCGTAGGCAGAATCTTTGGCAAGTCTGAGATGGTGACGCCTTCGGGGAGGAGGCAAAGGAGTGAGAGCAGTTGGGCTGCATTTGGGTTCTGCGACATGGTATGAGAGTTGATGGACAGTCTGATAGACACATCCAGACTCGTCAGTCGGTCCCCGCCATCGGTTTCGACCAGCGCCGTCCGTTCGGACTCGTATGCTTCGAGCAGGTCTGTCGGGCTCACGAGTTGACCTTGATGGGCCAGAAGAGTGATTGCAAGCGGCAGGCCGTCCAGACGGTTCAGAAGCTGGTCTACGTTGTGATCACGTCGTCGAGCAATGGACATCCATAGTTGGCGTGCGGCATCATGAGATAATGGTGTAAGGGGGTCAGCACATGTCTCGGCCCAGTCGACACCTGCCGGCCGAACAGCGCCTCGCATGGTGACAAGGAGTGAGAGAGACGATAGTTCGGCGAGCTTGCTCAGCAGTTGCTCCACGTTGGTCTTGTCCAGAGAGTCCCAAGCGGTTTCAAGGTTGTCGAGGGCGAGAAGAACGCAGCCTTGAGACAGTAGGGAGGTCAGGACGGCACGCAGAACTTCTAAACCAGGCGGTACGTGCAAAGAAGCTGCGAGGGCGTTGAGGATGCCTTCCGCCGTATCGAGCCCTTCGCAGCTGACGAAGAGGATGTGTCGACCGTACTTGGCTCTGACTCTCCTATTATTGATCACAGCCGCCGCGACAGATGTCTTGCCGATCCCGCCGGGTCCGAGTAGAGGAATGCGACAGGTGGTATTATGGCAAGCGAGTTCGACGATAGATTCCACCAGATCGTCTCTTCCGTGGAAAACGACAGGCGCAGGGGGCATCTCGGCGAGAAGCAAAAGCTCTGGACTGTGCGTGGCAAATCAGCTTCGGTCGAGACAACGGTGTTATGAGATCGTACACTTGTCCTGCAAGAGAACCGGCGGTCTGCTCAATGGGATCAGAGAGTGAGACAGAGTGTCATCGTCAGTAGACACACCTCTCTCTCCAGCCTATCCATACGAACAACGATACCTGCCACACGAGCACCGGTGCCCACGGTATGGCTTAGCTGCAAAAGCCATGAGAGAAGGAAGATGTCGATTGTAGAAGGCGGGCATACCGCAAGCTGCGACATGATGGAATCGAGCCTCTTATGGAGCTTTGTTAGCTTTTTCGACTTGTCGGAGTTGTGCTGCGGTTTCCGCAAGCTCTTCAGAAATGCGTCTACGTCTGCGGCGACCCCAACGACCGGCAATCAGAATGGACGTTCCATCACGGGGAGAAAGAGCGCGAACTTGATCAGCTCTTGCAGCAGCTTCATGGTCGGCTCATCCACATCTGAGTTTGGCGACAGGTGACCCGGGCTCAGAACGTGTCCATTGATCAAAGCCAGCTTCTCGCCAAGCTGACGGATGTCGTCCCGCTGCTTCTGCACCAGCTGACAGCAAAGAGGATCAGACAGTACGGCTGCAAATGTGAGACGACTTACATCGTAGATCCCGATGACTTTGTTGGTGGTTTCCACGAGGCGCTCCTTCATTGGGTCGAGCTTGGTGCTCACCCCTGCTTTCCATTGTCCAAGCATGTTCCGGAGAGTTGATTGCTGTCCATTAGATGATCCAGATGTTGCACTCATTGAAGATACCAAGGGAGGTAACGTCCGTTTGCGAGGAGATCAAAGCGGCGGAGGATCGGTGAACTTGAAGGGTAAAGCACGCCGGGGGGGTTGGATGAAAGGCACAGCTAGCTGATGCAGCTTGGAGCTGCGATGGTTTTTATGGAGCAGTCAGGACGATAACGGGATATGGACGACCCCGAGAAGACCACAGGCGCTTAATGTGCTGGCAATGAGGGCGGTGCACGGAAAAGCTCGCGGCCCCTCAGGGCAAGGCCGATAGATGATGATATCACGTCGTTGCGAAAAGAGTGCACTGACATGTAGAGTCTGATCACAGAGATCCAGGAGCAGGTAAGTGGACTGATGAGTTGAGCATGATGGCCGGTAAAACGGAGTGTCATTTAATCTCTACATCTGCCAGTGCGGCAATGGTTTCTATGAGATGTAAGGGTCCTGTCGCGACGCGCGCAGAGGATGCAAATTTCTCAGCGGCTTGGGCACAGAAGAGATAGGGAAGGCCTATTCCAGACACCATATGGCTCCTATTAGCGGTGGCTTCAATATCTGCCTCTGCTTAGCTCAGTTGGAAGAGCGCAAGACTGTAATGGCTCACGGAATCATCTTGAGGTCGCTAGTTCGAACCTGGCAGCAGAGAGATACGCTTCTTTTGTATCGAATCTCTTATGGGGGAACAACGATTTTGTCGAGCGGAAGAGGCGGAAGGAGGCAAACGAGGCGAGACGAAGGCTTTCCGTGAAGGGAAAACGACGCGGGAAAAAGGACCCTGACGCCCAATTTCATTTCATTTGCTCAGGGGACGGTCTGCGCAACTTTTGAAGGCCTCTCAAGTTGTTCAAACCAGGAGAATCTCTGTTGAATCCCCGTTCTCCGACGAGCGAGCTTGAGCCAAACAGACGGAAGCAAAAATAATATAAACGGAAGCAAACAGACAAACGTCACATTCTCGACACGAGGAGCGCGTCGACCCTTGCTCGCGCCGCGCCGCCCCACATCAGGAGCACACCTTCAACCGCCCCGCGCTCAGCCCTTTCCTACGTCCCTGTTGGTGACGACCATTATTGATCGCAAGGGGAGGCACTCACGACTGCGCTTCGGACATCGCACCGCCGTAGGCCTGGGAGTCATGGCTGCTCCAAAGCCGGCCACTCCACCACCTCCCAAGCCATTGGTACCGGAAAGCTGGTTTGATGTCGCCTCTCAGCGCTCATACGTGATCGGAGTGGGCGTCGTATTGCAGGTGCGCACCAGCGTGACTTTGGTTTGCCGCTCTCCTCTGACGCGCATACAGAGCATCAAACTGTTCGAGTTGTTGCGACATTACGTCCCACAACTGTCCGGCTCTTCGCTACCGTGGTTGCTCTATAAATGGAGCTTTGTGGATGCAGCATACATCTTGCTAGTGCCCCTGCTACGAATACCATGGTTAACGGCACCACCGTCTGCTCGGGTTCGGCTGGTTCTGGTGGCACTTCTCTTCAATTGGCTTCTGATGGGCAACTACACGGCAAGTCGTCCCTACGTGTATGCGCATCGTGCTCATATGTGTGTAGATACCCACTACTCTTCTCATCCCAACCTCTGTTCGAGGTGCGTGATCTGACCTGCCTGCGACCTATGCTGATAGATGCAGGCATGTTCGACTACCAACTGTCCATCTCCGAGCACCGTGTGCGCGTACAGGACGTGGTACAACCTCATTCCCATATCATGGGGCAGCATACAGTCCGCCTGTCACCTGTCAAGTGAGTCCAGCGCATATAGCCAGCGTATGGGATGCTAATCGTACATTAGCACGGCCGAGCTCAACCCGCAGGGACTGCGGCACTGCTTCACGTCGGGCCAGAGGCCTATCAGCGTTCCCGTACTGGTGAACAACACCGTCCCCCACAATATCAAGTTCAGCATAGAATCTCTGGAGGACGCGTCTGACATCCGGTTCATCATCGTCGACCGGCACGGATTGGGCAACCTGGCTTTGGTGCAGAGGTACCCGTCTGGTATGCCAGAAGAAGAGTTCGGTCCTGAGCCACCGCAGCGCAAGTCTATCGAGATGAACCCCGAGGGGCAGAGTCCATTACAGCTTGAGGATACGAAAGGGCTGGTGTACATCAAAGTTGATCGGCCCGGTATTGTCCGCCTGGAGAGCATTCTTGACTCTGACGACGAGGAAATCCACCTTGTTGGCGGCAGCTCGATCACCATCCCCGAGTGCCCAAATGTCAGCTTCCTGGTAGATTCGCGCGAGCCGCACTCTATACCGAAATGCCAAGGAGACACCTTTGAGGGCACTCTGATAGTGAAGGGATTGCCACCGCTGTCCGCGCACTACTGGAGGGACTTCGATGGGAAACGAGAGGACTTGTACGCCAATGGCATCGATGACGACTCGAAGGTGCGCACCGTGTACCGCCATATATGCTTTTTATTCATATCTTCCAGGTCTCTCGAGGTGTTCAAACCATCCAAGTACCTGTACCACTCGACCTCCCAAAAGCTGGATCCTACTCGTATGGCTTGACGTCAGTCACGGATGGTTTGGGCAACACGGTAACAGAAGGACATCTGCCAAGTACAAGCTTGAGCGGCTTTACCATCCGCGTGCTCTCCCAGCCGAACGTGCAGTGGACTGCCTGCTCAGTCGAACGACCCAGAAGTATGGCGAAAGGAGCATCTATGAGTCTTCCCCTACGGGTCAGTAATGGCAACGCCTCCGACGCACCATGGGAAGTCCACATCCAGCACACGTCTCCGGATGGCAAAACGAAACAGCTGCGCCAAGTGTCTTTCCAGACCCTCCGTACGCAGAGCATCGAGGTCAGCGAGCCGGGTGACTATACCCTTACTGGCGTCAACGGCAAACTATGCGATGGTATTGTGAAGGAGCCCGAGGTCTGCCGCGTGCTTGTCTGGCCTGAGCCAAGCTTGCAGGTGGAATTCGAACCCCTCGTTGACAAGAATTGGTAAGCCCTCGAGCGTCTGACTTGCACGATTCTAACAACCATACACAGCGACGTGGAAACGGGGTTCATAGCGCATGTAGTGTTCCAGGGAACGCCTCCATTCTATGTGTCCTATTCTGTCAAGAAGGACGGTCGCGCCGTGGATACGAAGCATATTCCCGGCATTCAGAATACCCAGTATGACGTGCAGCTAGAGCCTAACCAAGGTCCGGGAAGCTATCAATATAGCCTCACCGAGTTCGGCGACCAGCATTACAAGAAGCAGAAGCCATCACAGCAGACCAGCACGGCGACACAAGTTGTGCACACACATGCTGATGCCGACTTGGTCCGATCTGCGCAGCCTATAAAACTCTGGTCCTGCTCCGGGGACAATCTGGATGTCGATATCAAGCTGCAGGGTGTCGCACCTTGGAATGTCGAATTCCAGATATCCAGTCCAGGCGAAACGAAGCCTCTTCGTGTTACCGGGATCACGTCCAAGGATTATCAAGTGAATATTCCTCTTCCGTCGGATATCAATGAATATGGAGGACACTTTGATATCGCTCTCGGTGCGCCCCTTGCTTGTTGTGCTTGTCCGTCGTGCTGATCGGGAGTAGTGAGCATCGAAGACAAGAAACAATGTCGTCGTACCCTTAACAGGCCTCGAATTGGCGTGGACGTCTCTCGTAACAAGGTTTGTTATTGAACGTCCCATGAGTCTGTTGAATTCACGTGTACTCGTAGGCAACTGCACGGTTCACCGGTGTTGCCGCTGGAACGAAGGATGTGCATATTATCCAGGGTGATTCCACGAAACTGCCTCTTCGTGTCACGGGTGACGGGGTAAGCTCTGTGACCGCTGGGTTACGCATGATAGCTAACAGGACATAGCCAATGCGAGTGCGATGGGAGAACATCGACGATGGCGTGCCTCAGTGGACCACGGTAAAGGGCCAAAACGAGGATCTGACCGTTTCTCATGCCGGGAGATATCGCCTCCTGCAAGTTGAGGATGCCCATGGCTGTGCCGGCTATTGCGATGAGCAGATTTCTGCTCCAATAACGTTCATCGATCGTCCCTCCGCCCGCTGGCCAACCACTGCTGGTGAGCTAGACAACGGCAATCTGGTCCGAAGGGCGATCTGCGAAGGTGCTTCTGACCACGTCGACTTGGAACTGAGTGGTAAGCATACGAGGCTTTCTGCTGGACCTTGCTGACTCCCTGAAAGGTGCTCCTCTCTTCACTATTGGCTACAAGCATGAGCTGGAGGGGCATCCGTCAGAGGCCCCGCTCTTGGAGATTGCAAGCCCATTGAAATCCGCGAGGATCGAGCTTGTTTCCTCGCCACCCGGCAAACACATATATACCGTGGACGTCTTGAAAGACAATAATTACGCGATTCGAACGCCTAATCTACCACGACTGGAGCAAGAAGTCTTGGCGAAACCCTCCGCCTCTTTCAAGTCGGACGCTCGACTTCCATTCTGTTTGCACGACTCTTTGGTGCGCCGCAAAGGATTCCCGAACGCAGAGATCGCCTTAAAAGGTGAGGCGCCATTCGAAGTAGCATTGTCCATCAAGAATTCAGATTCTACTTCGCGGCGGACCGAACTGATTCAGGTGACATCGAATCAGTGGGATGTCGAGTTCCCGAGCTATACCTTTGATAAGATTGGCCCACATGTGGTACGAATCGAGTCGATCAAGGACGCGAACGGCTGTCCAGAGGCGCCTTCCGACTCGGATGCTCGCTCCCTCTTCATGGATGTCGCCGAAACGGCCGCTATATTGCCCATGGAGACACGCTCGGACTACTGTGTGGGCGATACCCTGCAATATCAACTGGAAGGAACCTCGCCCTGGATTGTCACGTACGACTTTAATGGCCGAGAAAGCCGGCCGACATCGAAAACGGCCAAGTTCAGTCGCGTGGCGGAGAAGGCAGGCGTCTTCACGGTCAAATCGATCTCGCACCAGAACAACCTTTGCGTTACGGAGGTTGACAACGTCAAGGCGGCCATCCATGACCTTCCTTCTGCAGTCGTTTCCGCGGGTCGTACAGCCGTGGAGAGCATCAGAGAAGGAGATCAAGCACAGATTGCCTTTGCGTTCAGTGGCGAGCCGCCCTTCACTTTTACATACCAGCGATCCGAGATCAGCAAGAAGGGAAGGCCTGGCAAAGTGCTCGAGACGCATACAATAACTGGTCATAAGGAAAAGGAATACCGATTCTCATCGGCTTTGGAAGGTGCGTTACGTTGATCTTTCTTTGTGGCCTTGACCAACACACAGCAGGAACGTGGACAGTCACGTTTATTGCCGACAAGTACTGTCGATACCCTCCAGTCCCACCTGCAAGCGTCGAGGTCACGGCTGAAACCATATAAACATCACCCACGGTCTAATCTTCTCTGCATATTCATTGGCTCGCACGCATATATCATTTCTCTTTTCTGTCTGCCGCAACACGCATACTGTACTTATATCAATCGTTAATGCATGCAATTACTACGTTGATTTGATTGGTGTCCTCGTCTTCTCTTCTTGCTACGCGGACTGACTATTGCAAGCTCAGATCTGTGCAGAAGAGATGTAGAACCACTTGGAGACTAGGAAAAGTCAGCCGATGTACCCGATATGCATCGGCCGTAACCGATACGCACTGGAAGGATCGATGGGGGCAGGAGG